TGGCAAATTGCTAAAGCTAGGCTGATAAAAGATGCTTGGTATGCCTGGGCATCCCTGTTTTTACTTTCTAATAGGCACCATGAATACATTCTAATCCTGGCGACATATTTAACTAAACACTTTGGTCAAATGGTATTTCCATGTCTCTCCTAGAACAGTTCTCCATAGAATATGAAAGAATTATGGACTTAAAACACCTCTGCAAGTCATCCAGTTCATCAGTCATCTCCCAAAGCCCTCACAGTAGGGCTAGCTTCAGCAACAGGCCAGGTTGCACAGGGAAGTATTCAGTTACACTTTGAGTATCTCCAAACATGGGTATTTCAGACTGTCTGGACCCCTGCTCCAATTGCTGATCACGTTCATTATGGGATTTTTTTTTCCTAATATCTAACTGGAATTTTCCTTGCTGCAATGCATCCACTGCCCTTCATCCTATCCCTCTGCACCCCCCAAAATGAGTCTGGCTCTATCTTCTCCATGCTCTCCCACCAGCTAGTTGAAGACAGCTCTAAGGCCCTCCCATGAGCCTTTTTTTTTCTTTCCTCTTCTGCAAGCTGAACAAAACCAGCTCCCTAAGCATCTCTTCATATATCACGTGCTCCAGCCCCCGACCACCTTGGTGGCCCTTCACTGGGCTCACCTTCAGATTGCCACCACCCTCATTGTACCAGACAGCCCAAACTGGGCACCGTACTCCAGACGTAGCCTCACAAGTACCAAACGGAGGAACATCATCACTCCCCTTAACCTGCTGGCCATGCTTCTGCTAACATGGCCTAGCAGGAGGTTGGCCTTCATCGCCACAAGGACACATTGCTGATGCACATTCAGCTGTCTACCACCTTGCAAATCTTCTTTCCATGAAGTCAGTCCCCAGCCTACACTACTGCACACCGCTGTTACATCCCAGGTCCAGGACTCTGTTTTTGTCTTGGCTGAACCTGGCAAGGCTCCCCCTGCAGCCCGTCAGGGTCGCTTTGACTCACAGCCCTATTCTGTAGTTCATCAGCCACTGCCCTCCCAATTTGCTACCACCTCAAACTTGCTGAGGGAGTATTTGATAATCAGTGTCCCTAGAACTAAGAAGGGCATGTATCAGAAGTAAAAAAATCTAGGCGTAAGATATCTCAAAAGCCTTCTACAAAAGGACATCACTTCCCTATGTAGAAGCATAGATGTAGTTACCTGCAAGCAGCAGTGTCCACTTTGTAAGAAACGCTTAGCGCACAACTATAAAGCCAGACCTTAAATTTTCCTGAAGTATCACACCACTCAGTTTCTGAATCACAGTTCAGTGAAGATGGTGACTGGATGTAAGTTTTTTCAGGCTAGGGCTGGTCTGGGTAGGCATACAGTCTTCCTCTCAAATGTGAAAGCACCATGAAGTTGAGTAACCTCCAGGATTCAGTAGCTGTTTGTGTTTTGGAGCTTAGAAGCCATCTGTGTTTTGTTTTAGAGAGCTCTTCATCTTGTACACAAGTCCTGTCTTTAAATATCTTATGGATAGCAATATTTTCCTCAGGCAAAACAGCATCCTTCATGTCTGCTGCTCTCACTTCCTCTTTTACATCTTTCCATGCTGCTTTTGAACCAGCCTCAATTTCCACTCTGTTGCCCACATACGCTATGGGCACACTGCGCCCACTGCTCCGAATCTCCCACTGTTCCCAACCTACAGATTTGTTCTCAACTTATCTGATAGAATGAAGTAAACAGAATTCCTTCCTACGAAAGGAAACCAAAATAATGTACAACCAAAATTACAGAGCAGTTTCACTTCAGTGGGTAAACAGAGGTAACACGTCAATAAAGACCATTTCACTAATATTTTTCCTTCAAAAAATGTTTCACTTGCCGAAGAGAAATGCAGACAAAAAAAAAAAATCATCCTGGTTGCTTAGCTAGTATTTCTGAAACAGGCTCATCAGAAGACTTCAGAAGGCTTTATCTAAATGAAGTAAGAGACGAATGTTTAAACAAACAGGATATATTACAAAAGATTCTTTTTTTTAATAGAATGTTTTCTACACAGTCTATAATTCTTATGGACTACACTGTCATTCACATAAAATTCTGTCAGCCCTGTAAGAGCAGAGGAGATCAATTCCACCCTAACTATGGAATTATAAAACAAATCTCCAAAACACAGTACACATATTCCTCTAAAGCACAGCCATTATTCCCTAAAACTTGAATTTAGCAATCCACTTACCCATTCCCACTTTCTTCCAGAATAAGCATTGGTATTCAAAATGCATGCCATATCTGAATTATAAAAAGGCCTGAGAGGGCATAACCAAAACTATGTTAATCAAGGTACCAGTGCTAGATGCCTACATCCTCATCCAAAACTGCATTAGGGCTTAATGCACCTGGGAACACAGTACTATATACAAGCCTGCATTTTACTGCTTGAATATTTCACCAGAGCCTACATAAACAGCAGCGTAGCTTTTTACGAATGACATTCAGCACACTTAACACAGTACATTCTTGTGTAGTTTTGGGGTTGTTTTCACTTTTTGTGTTTTGGGGATACTTTTTGTTTTAATCTACGCACCTGGGTTGTGACTACCCAAATACTTCCCCTTCCTTGCAGCAAAGTGCAGAAAACTCTCCAGCCTCGCATATGGAGAACTACGTAAGACATGCACCGTGCAGAAAAAAGCAGAAATAATGTAAGCTTTCTGTTTTCATTTACAGTCTAAAGCTTTAAAGTATGTAACAGTGGTTTCTAACTATAACCAGGAATGCATATTA